AAATTGCATTATCATATAACGAACATATTGGAACTGTTGCTTGATTGTCAAAATTCTGGTCAGCAAATTATTGTATGCCTTTTTAACAAAGGAGTTTGATATTTCAACATACTGTTTTAAACTTTACGAGTGTAGTAGGTTGTTATTATTTGGGTGTAATATTTTAAAGCAAAATACCACAAACTTGGTGTTCTTACTTCAGTGACTATAATTTTTATTATTCGAGGTACGTATAAACTTATTTTGACTTAAAATTTCACAGTAGATATAAATTTTTATTTATTAAAACCTTTTATTTAATATTAACAGCAAACGGCAGTTAAACTAATTTGGATATATGATAGCTGCCCATATTATAATACTTGCACATACAGAAATATAAATATATCAAGTTTAACATTAGCTACGTTAGTCGTGTAGTGGGGTTAGATCTTTTTTGCTAACTGCACTATAACACAAAATTTATTTTTTATTGCATTTGTAAAAAATGTTTTATAAATGTAACATTTTTACTTCGTAATAACATCTTAAAACTGGATGTTTTAAGTGAGTGCCTAATACTCTAATTTTATTTTAGACGATGGATATTTCAAGAGGAAAGCTATTAGCGAACCTGGGAATTCAAAAATTTCAACGAACTTTGACCCCTGATCCTCGAGAACAAGAAACAAGTAGTTCCTGTAGCACTCAGAAAAATATATCTGCTGAAATGGATTTTTATGAGCCATACCAGTCCTCTGGCAGTGAATATTTTGCTGAATCCGAGGAAACTGATTCTGTAGAAGAAACGAGAGACCAAGAGGATATGGAAATCTATTTATATATAACAAAAAATGATGGCAGAAAAAAACGCAGAAGATCAAGAAAAACACTAAATCAATCAAGACCAGACAGAAAAAAGTTTGCAAATTGTAACCAAAAATATGTTTCGGAAAGAAACAAAACTGTATTTCCTAAAAAGTTTACTGAAAATTACTCTTGTCCATGTTCAAGAAAATGTCACAATATTGTAAATGTTGAAACGAGAAGAAGATTTTTTGACCAATTTTGGAGTATAGGAACATTTGAAGGGCGCTGTGCTTTACTTAGCAAATATGTTGAAGAGAGCAACAAGAAAAGATGTTACACAAAAAACCAAACATCAAGAAGAAGTAAGTCAAGAAAATACTTTATAGATGGCAATCTCGTTTGCAAAGAAACCTTTTTAAATACACTTCAGATCAGCCATAATAGAGTCCGCGTAGCCTTAGATCAAATAAAAAGTAATATTATTAAAGATAAAAAGGGTATACATAGTGGTGGAAAAAATGCAATTGATGAAGAAAGAATTGAAAATATTAAGATGCACATAGCGTCATTTCCAACATATGTGTCACATTATTGTCGCAATTAGACGGACTCCAAATTTTTAAATCCTGACCTGAATTTATCAAAAATGTATCAATTCTACACAGTTACTACAGAAAACCCAGTGAGTCTTACGAAGTATACAAGCGTCTTTTATTCAAATTTTAATTTAAAGTTTAAGACACCACATAAAGATACATGTCGAATGTGTGATACGTACAAAGCCCAAATTAGTTCTGCACAGGGTACACACAAGGGGAATTTAGAAAGAAATCACAGGGAACATCTTGAAATTGCAAATGAGTTAAGGAGTGAAATGAAGGCTGATCTAATATGCGCGCAAGAAGATGAAACATTGGAGACACTGACATTTGATCTCAAAAAAACTCATCCTTTACCAAAAATACCGACTGGAGTCGCATATTATAAAAGACAATTAAATTTATTTAATTTAGGTATTTATGTCGGCAGTACAAAAAGAGGTATTTTCAATGTATGGACAGAGCAAGAGGCAGGCAGGGGAACACAAGAAGTCGGTTCATGTCTGCGTAAATATATTAATGAAAATATAAAGGCACCCGTAAAGAAATTAATTCTATGGTGTGATTCTTGTGGGGGGCAGAATAGAAGTATTAAGCTAGTGTTAATGCTTATTCACATACTTCAAAACCATATGTCCCTTGAATCCATTTCGTTAAAATTTTTAGTTTCTGGCCACAGTTTCCTGCCTAATGATTCACATTTCGGAGATGTCAAATGCGCTCTTAAAACTCATCAAAGACTGTACACTGACAACGATTACATAGAAATAATGAGATCTTGCCGAGTAAAAAATAAATTTGTTGTAAACCGTCTAAGATCTGAAGAAATGGTTTCGGTTAGTCTTTTGCTACAATCCATAACAAATCGCAAAACAGATATAAATAAGGATGTTATTAATTGGCTAAAAACACATGTAATACATATTACAAAGGAAAATCCCACAATGTTGTACATGAAAAAACATGTGAGAGATCAACAATTTTCGGAGGTAAATATTGAAAAATCAAGTAAAGGTCGAAAACCTGTTTTAAAGAATATAGAGCTGCCTCCCTTGTGGCCAAATGGCAAATCACTGTCCGCTGAAAAAATTAAGGACCTTAAAGATTTGTCTAAGTTAATTCCTCAAGATGCCATGCCTTTTTATGGATTTTTAGACAACATCAGCTATGAAAATTTTGAAGAAGATTTGGAAGGAATTGGGTTAAATCCCGATTTCGAGATTGACCAAGATCAAATCGAGTAGAAATTAAACAGTAACAGGTACTTACTATTTGTAATGAACTCGGATTCGAAGTTTTTTCTGTGTATTTATTATTTTGGAGGGATAGACGGTTATTGCAAAATGACAAACTTATATTTTTACCATTTTGCAAAAACCGTCTAAGCCGCTTTAAGTTATTTTTGCAAAAAACTGTTTTTACTTATTTTGCTTTTGTACGTTTTTTAAGGTAGCCTGTAATTATTGAAATATAAAAATGTGAAAATAAAGCCTTATTTTCTATCAGTTAATGTTTTAAAGTAGGTAGATACATTATGCTCATTTACTCGAAACCATATATATATGTGGCTTAGACTATTATTGCAGAACACTCTCCTTAGATTTAGACCAAAATGAATATGAGGATAATATCGATAAAACAGAAAAACACACTTAACAAAATGTGTTCAAAAGGTCAAAAATGATCGAAAAAAAACATTCAGTGGAAGAATGGTCCCCGAACAATATTTCCAATTCCAGAATGGAAAAGTAATTTAGCGACATATAAATTATTAGAACCGGAATCCCCTCTACATTATTTTAAAAAGATGATATCTACCAATATGCTGAAAAACATAGTAGAACAAAGTAATTTGTATGCACTGCCAGCACTGCAAAAGAATATAAATAAACCATTGAATATGACACTAGCAGAATTAAACCAATTTATTGGATCTGTTCTACTGATGTCAATATATGGCTTGCCAAGGACAAGATCATTTTGGCAGAAGGAAACACGTGTTGCTCAAATAATTGACACTATATCTAGGAATCGCTGGGAAGAAATAAAAACTAAAATCCATTTCAATAATAACGAAAATATGGTCAACAATATTGATAAGTTATACAAAATTAGACCATTCATCAACGGTCTAGTTCAAAATTTTCAGAGTATTTCAAACAAATGATACCATTCAAAGGGCACATTCTTTAAAACAATATATGAAGAACAAATTCAAAAAATGGGTATACAAGGCATTTGTTTTGTGTGATAGAAATGGTATTGTTTATAACTGGGAATTATATACAGGAACTGTTGTGCGTCGTCTTCATTTACTTAATGTACGCACCAGCGGTAATGTAGTAATAAGATTGTGTGAGATAGTCGAACCAAACAAATACCATAAAGTATATTTTGACAACTGGTTCAATAGCATTCAGTTGCAGATTGAAATGGAAAAACGTGGACTGCAATGTTTGGGAACTGTTCGTCCAAACAGATTGCCTAATTGCTATTTTTCTGATGACAAGAATATGAAGAAACAGGGCAGAGGTACTGTAGAAGAAAAGCACGCTACAGTAGTTGGCATAAGATTAACAGCGTTAAAGTGGTACGATAATAAACCGGTTCATTTGCTTAGTACATATTTTGTTGGTTCTGAGCCTACTTCGTTAGTCAAGAGGTGGGATAAGAAACAAAAATCAAGAATTGATGTATGCTGTCCAAATGCAGTGCAATTTTATAATAAATTTATGGGAGGTTTCGATCTAATGGATTCACTAATTGCTCTTTACCGAACAGACATAAGATCTAAAAAGTAGTATCTAAAAATATTTTTTCGCCTTCTGGATTTAGCTGTTGTTAACAGCTGGTTGTTGTATCGTCGTGATTGCGATTACTTTGAAATTGAAAAGAAAAACCAGTTGCCTTTGTTACAGTTAAGTCCCACTTATGTAGCGTACTGTTGGCAAGAAGTGACCAGATCAAAAACAAATGACGTCTCAGGCTCAGTGAAATTGAGAACGAAATTGTAAAAAAAACAGAGAGATGACCTACTGATATTGTACCACCAACGGAAGTTAAAAAGGGAAGATGCAAAAAACCAGGATGCTGCAATACTCCTAAAGTAATGTGCGATAAATGTAAAGTTGCTTTATGTTTTACAACTACAAATATTTTTTTTTGATTGGCATAATAAATAAGTATAACTTAATTCGATAGTTTTTGCTGCCCACAGTTGCCTGAGGGTAACACTCCCAAAACTCCCCCCAAACAAAATTTTAAAAATCTAAAAAAATTACTAGTTGTTGTAAATGCATATTTGAGCATATATACAAATTAAACCATTTTCTCTTAAGTTTACAGAAAAAGTCGGGCAATAGAGAGTTAAAAACTCTTGTCTTTTTTAAATAGAATTTAATCCACCTTATGTAGTTTTGATCTTTCTGTTAAAGTGGTTGCCGTTAAAGTGGCGTAGTAGAACAACCTGACAAATTGTGACGTCATATTCCTGCTGTGCTCGTACGTTCGGCTTGGTCCGCGGTATTAATCGATTACTCCTCCTGCCGAGGTAGTGACAATGTGAGATACAAAATAGCGGAGCAGACGGTAGAAAAATTGGTTAGATTTATCAGTCTCGCGAAAGGAAGTGCGCGTACAGAATCAGTTGTGTTTAATTAATCCAAGCCCGGTCGCGTGGTGTTTAAAAACAATATTTACATAATAGAACTGTAGAATCTTATTAGTGCCATATAAAATGAGAAAATGACATCGACCACTACAACTATTAGAAAATCTTATGGAAATAGACGTTTGTATGCATTTCCCGAGGATTATCCCTTTAGATTTCAAAAACAACAAAAAAGTGTCGGTGTGCCCAAAAAGAATGAAGATGTGGCCAAGCTGATAAAGTACATTGACGACAACATCGTTGGAAAAAATAATGCGTTTTTGGGACCTTTTGGTAGGAGAAAAGGTAATTATACATTTTGTCTAATTCATTTAACAACATTTAGCTACGTTTCATAATATAAATACATACTTACAGCACATATTTATTAACACAATTCCAAACTAAAAAATATTTTCATAAATATTTAATTGAGAATTTATGTAATTTTTTATTGCCTCTATTAATATTACATAAGAAATGTTTTAAAATTTAAACTAGTATCAAGTCTTGATGTAGCTATTTAACGTTATTATCTTTGTATAGTGAATTATGTAGGTAGCCACCAATCTAACCTCAATAATTTGGCGTATAATGGAGAACGAAAGTTTCGATTATTTTAACTGAAGATACCACCTACCATTTAGGTATGGGCTCTGTGTATAATTCAACAGTCGAACAGTCTACTCTTTTAGTAGGTTCCGAGATATTAAGTACAAATATAGATATATGAAAATTATAGAAATTTCTCCTGCACTTCGACCTACATTTTTTTGTTACATATTCTATACACGTCCCTTTTTAAAAAGTCTTACAGTATTGTTGCATTACCAACCTCTACATTTTTTCTTAAATTTTGAATATTTACTGATTCGTTCTTCTAGTTTTTTTTGTTTTCCATATTTTTTTGGTATTCTTGATTATTCAACCTGTTATATATTTAAGTACTACTTCCTTTCAATATCTGTTGTTATTGATATCGTTTTTTTTTCTATAAAATTACAGGACTTAGTAATTGGACTTTGATATATACCTAATAGTGATGATCTGACTGATTAAATCCATTTCAATCAAACCTGGTTTTCTTGTATTAAGCACTCGTGTATCGATACAATAAACACTCTTCGTTTTACCCTCATTTGGTTTTTTCCAAATTCACTAGTCTAATTAGGTATAGTTTTCAGATGTGCAAGATGCATTTTTAAATCTCTCTATCGTCTCCAAACTCAATATCTTTTGATAATTTGTTTTATTGATGTTACTTGTTACCTTGAATCTTGAATACTCTTCGTGGTAGTCCCCAACTACCAAGTAATATATCGTCGGCTTACCTGTAAAACCTTCTAAGTCCGATTTTCGGTCATTTGGGGTTTTTTACGGAAATAATTTAATAAATCCGTCCCGACATAACTGTGAATAGATTCTAAGTCGAGACCAATCGGAACTCGTCCCTAGTGGAAACACGAGGAACTTCTATGTCTCTCAGTCTAAAATAGTTCTGAAAACCTTCTATGTCTGTGAGTGGTCTGTGAAAACGTGCTGACATTAATTTGGAGGTTAGTAAGTAATCGGTCTTAAAAATTGATGGTTTTGGCTTAGAAGTGCTAGCAACAGTTAATGTTTTCCAGTTAAATTTAAACTTAAATAGCTAAGAAGGTATGTACAATGTTTTTATCCCATTTTAATTAACAGTAATTTTTAAATGAAATTCTTAACCTGTTGATGTAGACTTACACGGTTTTCATATTAAAATTAATGTTAAAATATTCACTGCTAGGGACTTACATGGTTTTCAGACTAAAAGTAAAGTTAAAATATTAATTGAAAAAACTTCAAGGAATCAAATTATACATTTTTTATGACTTGTAACGTGTTATTTAAAGAAACTAGATTATGGTTGTTATATTATTTTAGATGGCTTCCTACAAATCTCGGACAGAGCTGATATTAGAATTAGTTGCCGCGCCAGAAGTTTCACCGAGAGAAAATAACAATTTTGATAACATTGATCATAATTGTGGAAATATTTTACCTATTTTACCATTATTTCCAAAACCTATTGATTCAGGACATTGGGAAGATAATATTAATATTAATGATCTGCCCATAGAGTTTATTGACTTACCTACCACTGTTAAAGTCCAGTGCGCACATAATGCAGATGATAATAATTCTATTACTATTCAAAAAAATAGTGGTGAGTAAACGCACAATTTCGTTAGTAGGTTTTTTATATTAATTAATTTATTATTTCAGAAGAGCAGCATGTTTGTTTAGAAAACGCAGTGCAAAATTTTGAGGCTCTCAATGAGTTTTCAATCGACCAAAATAACATTACGAATAATAGTGAACTTGATGCTGAAGAAGAGTCTCTCTATTCTCCTAATTCCGATTCAGTGGACAGTTCTTCAAGTGATTCAGTCTCCTACCAGAATAATGTTACCAACTCAGAAGAAAATAACTTTGAAGATAACGATAATGTAAACATAACTGTTCCTCCCACGGTTTCTCGAAAGAGAAAAAGAAACAGAAAAGCTGATATTTCACAATGGGTCCAATTTCAAAATAAACAAAAAAGGGAACACGGTGAAAAATATCTCGGTAGAAGAAAGATGGACGGCAAAAATGTTTTTGATGTTGACAAACCAGAAAGAAGTATAAAACCGTCATGTAATTGCAAACTTAGTGCAAAGAAAACTGCATTGTTAAAATGTAGGTTGTTCAGCGAACAGCAAAGAGAAAAAATATTTTCCGAATTTTGGAAAAAGACATGGGGAGAGAAAAAAACCATGGTACAAATGTTAGTCCGAGTTGGTGCAGCTCAAGATAAAAAACATCAAATCAACGAAGTCTCTAGAAGAGGCCGATCACTATATTTTCATCTGAAAAATTCATGTGACGAATTACATAGAGTTTGCAAAACAATGTTTCTACATACGTTATGCGTTGGACAATGGACTGTGTCTGAATGGGTTAAAGAAATAAATGATCCAAATATAAATACAGAGGATACTCACGCAACACCCGGTGATACCTCTTCACAAAATCTGAAAAGGTCTAAAATATCTCCGGAAACAAAGGATGACTCTCCTAGGAATATTTTGCGTTCCTTTCTAATAAGTCTGCCAAAGCTCGAGTCGCATTATTGTAGATCATCTACTACGAAAATATACCTAGAACCCGTATGGAGATCAAAGATGGAAGTATTCCGAGAATATGAAAATAAGTGTAATGAAAAATCCCTATCAGTTAAAACATTTATGGAGGAATTCGAAAAGATGAATCTTAGCATACACCAGCCCAAAAAAGACCAATGTGACCTCTGTGTGGGATTTAGGGTTAAAAATGTATCAGAGGATGCTTATAAAAGACACATAGAAAATAAAGAAAATGCTAGGGCAGAAAAGTCCAAAGACAAGGAGCAGGGTAAATTTGTATATACCATGGATTTACAGAGTGTACTTCTTGCACCGAATTTAAAAGCTTCAGCGCTTTACTATAAGACTAAATTGATAGTCCACAATTTTACCATATTTGATCTCAAAAACAAAGATGGTTATTGTTTTGTGTGGCACGAGGGAGAAGGTGGACTGTCCGCGAACGAATTCTCTACAATAATTTCTTATTTTATCCTTAATAAGATACCAACTCTTCAGGATAATGATGAAATAATATTTTACAGTGATGGTTGCGGCTACCAGAATCGAAATAATATTTTATCAAACGCACTTTTGTCTGTGGCTAATGAAAAAAAAATTGTGGTGGTTCATAAGTACCTTGAAAAAGGTCATACACAAATGGAGTGCGATTCAATGCACTCCACAATTGAACGAAAACTCAGAAATCGTGAAATTTATACACCAGGATGCTACGTCGACCTTTTAAAAACTGCAAGACTCACTCCTAAACCATATGAAGTACTGTACCTTGATCATACATTCTGGAAAAATTTTTCCAATTTTAACTTTTATAGTTCAATAAGACCTGGAAATCAATCTGGAGACCCAACTGTCCATGACCTCAGATGTATAAAGTACAATCCAGACCTAAGTCTTGAATACAAAGTAGACTACAAAATGCCCTGGACTTTACTTCCCAGACGTTGCAATAAAAGCAAGATTGGTGCTATTCCGTCTCCTTTATACAATGGCCCATTAAAAATAAAATTACAAAAATATAATCACTTACAAGAATTAAAATCCGTGATACCAAAAGACTTTCATACATTTTATGATAGTTTACTAACTTGTTAACTTTATTTGTTTCACTATTATTTTTTTTCAATTCATATATCTATGGTTAATATCTATTAGACAAATATTTCATATGAGAAATTTGATTTTTTGTGCAATATATTTTTTAAATACAGCGGTTGTCCAACAAACTAATTATATTTAAAGTAAATATCGACTCTTATGTACCTTGTAAGTCTTATTTTGTCCCGAATAAATAAATGAAAAGCACGTAAGTCCTCTTTTAATGCCTAAATAATCAAATATTTATATACTGGATTACTGATTTAACTAAAATTACATTTTAGTGGTGTTTAACAAAATTTTATAAGACAGGGTCCCATAATAACGGTGGTAGCAGTTTTTTGCTTCTCCTGAAAAGTTTTGAAAATTGGACTTAGAAGGTTTTACAAGTAAGCCGACGATATTTAAAAAAGTTTTTATCAAAAATGATTGTCTAAATCAACAACAACGTCTTGACTATATAAACGAATAACAAGGCAAACCTCTATTTTCACTTAACTAATGCCCCTATTGTTTTAAAGAAACATTCAAATTTCCTGTCCTTTTAAAAAAAAACTAAAAGCAATCTAATTATTTAAATTGGAATCAAATAATACACTTCTGATAAAAATATGCACCAAATATTGCCTATTAAAAAAACTTGCGGTGCCATGTTTGGCATAAGCAAATAAAATTATATTACACAAAGCAATTTATTTAAATGACTGGCTCTAGTTGTTTCGTAAGTAAACAAGGAAGTACGCGAATAAATTTGCTTTAGGATCAATAGTTGTTACTTTAACTGTTAAATAATTGACATTAGTTAGACCTTGATAGATGTATCTTCGTAAAACTGTAAAAATGTAACCAATTAAGAAGGTATGGTTATTACATTTATTGTGAATGTATTTTTGAACGTTTAAATATAAAAATTAACCTCACGCGTAGCTGATCAAAATTTTTGGGAGGACTAGAACCTTCTCATAACGAGTAATCCATAGATTGTGTGTGATCTCTACTATTATCCGTGTTGAAACTTCATGACTGTGATCTTACCTCATTCGTGAAGAG